GCTAGAAACAAATCCCATTCACTAAAATATTTTGGGTTTGTTTTTCTCTACATCCTTCAGAGAGAGACTGCCTGGGAGCCAGCCTCCTGCTGTCCCCTGTAACTGAGCCCTTTGCTTCTTCACTGGCTCTAATCTAATAAAGCTAGTATGGAATATTTTTAAGTCAGAGTGATTTGCCATCTTTTCCATAAGAATGTGGGGTCTGTACTAAACTTAGAACAAAATTGCCAGCAAAAGAAGTAAATCAATACCCTTTCCTTATAACCCTCAAAATAACCTTATGGCAAGGATGCTCACATAAGATGGGGTCAGTCTGGGTTAAGTCTAATGTTTCCTATGCAACATGATAAAGGTCCCATTTCTGTTCCACATCAAAATTTGTCTGAGGCTCCCGAGGCTTTAGTCCAGGAATGGCCAAATGCAAGATAGCTGGAGGATCATCCCAAGGAATGGAGATCCTGTACTCAGTACTGAACCTCAGACTTGTTGCTGACTGGTAATCTGAGAACGGCTTGTTTGCAGGAGATAAAACGCACACAATTGGTAAGAGGAGCTATGTTAGGCTTGCTTAGGGAAAAATCTGTACAGTCCTTCCATTCCTGGCAAATTACCTATTTGATTTGCAGCTAAAAAGTGTTGAGATGGCCTTGGTAAAGTGAATGCTGCTTAGTGATCCAAGCTACCTGATTCAGGTCCAGGTCAGAGGTACCAGGGGACTTGAATTAAGAATAATTATGTGTGCTAGCACCCAGCACGGTCATGTCAGCTACACTACAAAGCAAGGAGGACCAGCAGTAATTGTCCTGTGGTGAGACAGAGCATGCGCTAGTGAGCACAGTAACTCCTACACCCCTGCTTGGGTTAGAGAGGCTTCCCCAGCCTCACCTGGAACAAACTTCCCATCAAACTGCATCTGCAGGACAGTGGCACGACTCCATACCTGAGAGACAGGGGGTTTGGGAGCAGGAGGTGCTGGCCTGCTTGGGGGTGTCCGCTGGGCAATGTTCTTCGCAGGTGCTGGCTGTGCTGGCCCAGCAGGCTGCCCCACGCCGCAGCCAGGGGAGATGGCGGGCGGCTGCTGCGTGTTTACTCGGAGCCCTGGAGCTTGCTGGGGAGGAGGTTTTGATGGGATTTCAGGGAAGACGATCACCTGTGCAGAAGACCCACAAGTCCCTGGAGTTAGGTATTTCCACTTCAAACCACCTTTTTACTCTCTGCTATACTTTTGACGATCTACATGAGGTCTATGAGCCACATAGAAAATATTGCCTGTGACACTGGTATGTGTTGTACATGTCTATTAAGTGTTGACTAGATAGACTGGGATCATGAGGCAGAAATGGGAATTAAGAGAACAGAATAACTCAGGCAGTAGCATCGTATGTGACCTCGCAAATAAATCCAGGGTTTGCAATTTCTACAGTTTTGAGAGGGCACCGTGACATAAGAGGATCTATCAGGAGAGACAAGTGGCCACATCAGCCTGGTCAAATCCCAGCTCCTGCCTTTAAGGAGATTGCTAGAAATAGATACTACATTCAGCTCCCGCTGACTTTCAGCCATGGGTGACTTCTGTCTATCTTTCCCATCCTTTGATAAAACCACTCCCTAATTGCAGTGTGAGAGGGACCCACATCCCATATCTTAGGGCAGCTGCATCTCTCCCCAGGGAGGTGGAAGGTGACCTTGCCCCTACCTTCCTCTGCTCCTGGGGGGTTTTCAACTTGAAGGCAGGGTTTGCATGCCCATTTCCAGGGGTGTCACTGACAATGAGAGAAAGAAAAGAGTAAATGTTATTTCCTTTCTTTGCTCTATTTTCCATTATATTTTAAACAAAGTAAAAAAATGAGAAGCAAATACTGACTATACCAACAAACCCATTTACATTCCTCACAGCCTTTGCAATTTCTCTTCTGTCCTGGCACTGAAAGGGGTGGATGCAAGCGGACAAGGCATAGCACTGACAATTTACCTGAACTGCAGGGTCTTCTCTAGAGAACAGATGGCAAATTTATTCCAGCATTTCAGATAATAGAATAAAAACATGATTCCAATGAGAACAAGAATGGGAGCCAGGATTGCGAGAGTTATCACGACTGCTGAAGGGCCTGAGGGAAAGAAAGTAGAGTTAGTTAAACGGAAAATTCTCTGCTCCCAATCTAACTCAAGTCCTCCTGAAGCACCACTGTAGCAGAGTTGGTCCCACTCACCTTTGGGCACGGGGGGACCACTGTCCAAGCTTCCTCCCCTACCCTGCTTGTTACAAAATGGGGGGGCCCACCCCTGATTGCAGTGGCAGTTCTTGTTGTTATTGCAGACCTGGAGGAGGAAGACACAGAGACTTTAGTGCCAGCTCCTGAAGAATCTGCAAGCTGAAAAAAAAATAAGCCTTTGCTGGATAAAACACTACAGAAGAAACTCTTATTGGCATAAATAGGGAGTTAAGTGCTGGCAAACACTTTTATTTCAGGGAGTGACAGTGTCTTTTATTTCCTCAGAAATCCTCCCTTTCTCCAAAAGACAAGGGTTTTTCAGCTGAAGTGCCACTAACCTGGATTCAGGAGAAAAGCAGCGTTTAGAAATGCCTTTCTCTTGTTCTTACCTCTAAACTGTCCCTACCACCCAGTGCAGATTTCTTATTGTTTATTGCTTGGCCCATTGCTCTTTGTTTTATCATCTAGGTGGCCCCCGGAGGAGGGGCTGATCCCTCTGATTAGGGATGTCCTGTGCTAATTGTAGCATTTAATTTGATTCTGTGGAATAGCCGAAAATCACTTCCCACAGCTTCAAGTCTCTCCTTGTCAGGCACATCATGGGGCCTCCCAAGCTGCTCAGGGAGGCACACACTGCTGCACACTGCTGTATTTATCATTCCTCTCCATTACCCAACTGGGCCCTAAAGATGTAGAGATGCTGATGTTTTGTGCCAGAAACATCAGCAAAAAGGTATAAAAAATTCTCACCAGCCTTTTCTTTCCATCCTCTGGGGGCACAGCACAGTTTGGGATAAACTGTTCTAAAGATGACTTTTACTATGTTTTTCCTTCAGTAAGTCTGATTTTTTTTTTTTTTTATTCAATCTAAACTGGGCCCAGAATATTTTTCTGGAAGATTACCCCTTCTTGTTTTTCCTTCCTTGTAATTCACATCCCTCCTTAAATCCTATGCCAAAGGGACACTCATGGACCAGAAACTGCATCAAACATGAAAGGAATGTGAAAATTAATAATCAAGAAGCCAAAGCCTGGAGCGAACCTAAGTGTGGTATCAGAACTGAGCTGAACAACCATCCACAGATGAATGGCAGCCCATCCTGCTTCAGTCTGAAATGGAGATGAAAAGGAAGACACCTACTCCATGCCCGTGGCACTTCTTGCTACAGCTTTCAGAGTCAAAGATGATGGATGTGTTCTGGCAGCGTCCCTCAAAGCAAACCTGCAGAGAAAGGGTCAAAAAACTTAGTGTTAGCTCATTGGGTTATGTACCATATTACTGCCTTACTATTTTGTGACTTGCAGGGTCCCAGACTCCTTGGCAAAACAAGCAATACCATGGGCAGGACAACAGGCCACGAAGTTAACCTGGTTTCCAAGCAAACATTTAATCACTACCCTAAATCCCAGATAATGCACGTCAGAGAACTCAGAAATTGATAGCTTGGCCATGCCCATGTGGCAAGTCTGTGGAGGAGCTCCCAGGGGTCTTGATTTCTAACTGTGTGTCACCTCAAGCAAGACATCCTCAACCAACTAGCAAATCCCAAGCGTACCACTGGCCCTGGACTTCATCTGGCAAAGACTTAAGGTATAGCCTTTGGTGTGTATTCTTCCATTACTTCTCAGAAACCTGTAAGAAATGATTTTTCTCTTGCTTTACTCAATCAGTGGCTTCATAGCCATAAAGCACTTTCCAGGTGGAAAAGTGACACCTTGAACCTCCCCAAAACCATTGCAGCCAGGCCGGTACCTACATGATGGCTCCCACATTTTGTTCCCGTCAGCACCAAGCCAGGATCCAGCATCTCCTTTTCTTCACTTTCAGATCTGTACACGTGGGTCCCTCGGCACCTCAGCTCTGTCCTCTGCATGCGGATAGTTGTGTCTATGGCCACTGCATTGGACTGCAGGGGTTTGGAAGCAGAGCTCTGGCACTGGATCTTCCCACATTTAGCATCTCTGATTTCAAAGGAAAGGCTAAAGTGATTATTTCTGGCTTGCTGGATGTTTTGCAGCTACCAGCTTTACAGGTAAATTAAAGCAGCAGTGTTGAGTCATTGTTCAATGTCAAAAGAACAAGTATCTCCCAAGAGTTGGCCCAAGCAACAGGGTCTGGTGGGTACTGATAGTACCAGTTCACTGTCCCTGAGGGTAGGCCAGCCCCAACAAAATCACACATAAGACTAAGTTTTTGTTTCAGTTAAAAAGCTACATTTAAATTACAGATTTGAAAATCCCCTCTTCTGTTGCTTTGAAAAAATATCAACTAGATGTTTTAAAATGCAAGAGGCAGGGAAAATGGTAAACCTAAAGCTGCAGTTGTAAGGGCTTTAAGTCCAATGAGGATGCAGCTGGTTTCCCAAAAAGCAGAGGGAGGGAGTGAAACCAAAGCATGGATCAGTTTTATCTACTGGCCCGTAATTTTGTAATATATAAAACCATCTCCTCCAATAAGCAACGCTTTGCTGCCACTCTGCTTTCTACCTCATCTCACACTTCCTGTAGTTGCCGTAGATGTCCTTCCCACAGTTCCCGTAAATGTCTCCAGCAGCATTAACCTTCTCAAAGCAGGCGTCTGGTGCCGGCCTTGCTCCTGCATGGAAAAGATTCACGTGGCTGATTCCTGTGGAGCCTGACAGCCCAACTCACCCCATGCCAACCGCTCAATTGTTCTTCCTCTGGGGTGGTTTGAGCATGGGGAATTTTTGCTGCCTCCTGCAAGCGAGCAAGGCAGGAGAAAAGGCTCCTCAGACTTTGCTACCAGTAACAGGTATGGAAGGTACTACTGCTTTACACAGAGTGGATAATAGTACGGTGCCACATAATATTGTCTGTTCAAAGGACAATGTATTTTGCTGCAAGTAGTGTCCTTACCAGGCCCCCACAGCTGCAAGCACTGGTCTTTATATGTGAGACACATGCCACTGTAGCAATACGCCTCTCCTCCGTCACAGGAAGACCCATCGATTTGGTAAGAGTTGGGGGGGCAAAACGGTGACTCGCCAGTGCAGTATTCTGGGAGGTCACAGAGTCCTGATCTTTCCCTGCAGAGAGTTCCTGGAGACATCAGCTAAAAATATACAAAGGGGAAAAAAAATGAATTCTTGTTCGGCTCCTTTGTGGTTTCATGTCTGCACAATGACTCCCTAGTAGTAGTAAGAAAAAAATCTTTTGTACATCTCTTCACCCACATTGTTTTAGGTTTTTTTGAGGTCAGCAGTGATCCAGGTGACTCTTTAACTTCACTAACTGGGTGAGCTGTGTAGAATCAAATCAATGACTGGATCCCTTCCCCAGGTAGCACTGAGATCATGCACAGAAAGTACAGCTGCTAGATCTCAAGGGGACATCGATCCATCTCCCTCTACTCTAGGGTAGGATCTGATTTACCTAAACCATTTCTGACAGATGTTTGTGTAATCCATTCCCCAAAACCTCCCTGTTGTTGAAGTTTGTTTCAGTGTTTGACTGTCATTTCTGCTGGAGACATTTTCCTAATGTGTAACTTATGTCTCCTTTGCTTATGACTTTACCCGTTCATTCTTGGACATGGAAGGGCATACACAGTCACATCTAGGAGGTTTTCCAAGTCTTTTCTGAAAAAAAGTGAGTGCATGTGGATTCCTGGAAAATTATTTTTCACACGCTCGAGGTAGGTCAGTAAGAGCATGTAGTCAATGTACAAACACAAAAATGGGCTTAAGGGAAATGTTCACCTATGTTCATTTTTGAGATAATTGATTGTCAAAGCTTGAGCTCTTTGGCTCAAAAATCAGAAACACATTTTAACCAGCCTTCTGATTCATCCCATCCTTAAGTGTTTCAGAGAGGCAGTGTGACTTCACTCCAGCAGCATTCACAGCTCATCTTAAGTTATCACAGGAGTCAATTAAATTAGTCAGCTAGAAGAAAACACCCCACTAGTTTGATTACTCATAGCTGTTGTACCTAATAATCAGACCACGTTGTGTGCAGGTGAGGAGCTGAACTCCATGTTTGGCTGTGTCTGCTCCCCTTTCCCCTCTATTTTTCAGCCTCACACTTCCACCACCATTATTAGGAAAACCCAGAGGTCCTACCTTGCACTGGTGACAGCAGCTGCCATGGGCACATTCGGCACCCAGCTTCAGGGAGCAAGTGCTGGCGT